ACACTCTCTCTCTCTCTCTCTCTCTGTCTCTCTCTCTCTCACACTCCCTCCCTCCCTCTCTCTCCCCCTCCCTCCTTCTCTCTCTCAGCATCGAAACTCCCGAATTTCGAAGGTCGTATCAATGGAAAATGTTTTAGTAAAAGTTTTACGGCACTTGCAACACAATAAGGTCATATAAGTGCCGAAGATTAGAGAGTAACAAACACAACAAAGAAGGAGGGGAGATGTTGTTGTTGTTGTTGTTGTTATCGATCCAGCAACAGCTGGGCTCTCGCCCTTCTGTCCAATGCCATGTAGTGATAAGTGCAGGTTTGCTGCAGTTGCTGTAATGTTCCATACAGACCAAGGAGGGGAGATAAGGGCGGTATGTTTTTTATAGGAAAGAAGGAGAAAACCACACCAGAGCACCCGCCAACAGCCCACGAAAATGTTGTCAATACGTGCAAGTAACAACCATTATTCATTATAATGACGCTGTGCAGGGCGCACATCTGTCTAAGACGGCCACTTCCCCCCGCGACAATGGATGGTTGTCTTAGACAAGTCCGACGGTATCATGAGAGGAACAAGTTATTGCACGTACTACAGGCCAACATATCTGACAGAAACTTTTGTCTTTCTTCCTTTGAGTAAAGAGAAACACATCGACACAATAATGGTCATTTAATGCTGGGGGGAAAAGTAAGACAGACAGACGGAAACAACAAAGGCAAAGTAAAGAAGTAGGACCTACCAAGAGGGGCCCTCCGCCCTCCAACCACCAGCTCAGACAGACACATCGTACTGGGAAAAACAGCTGGTTGCGAGAAACCTGTATTACAGGCTGGGCGTAAAAAGGTTCCATTTGCCATCAGGGGATGTTTATTGCACGTTAAAACGACGCAAAGGAATTCGTTCTTGCTCTGAGCCCGCGACACAGTAAAGAAAACCTGCTGTTCCAGGTTAATGGCATGCACCCAGAGTTCTACTTCATTTTATTAGGGTGGAATTTATGACAAATCAAGAACTTTACCCACATACGAAATTCGAAACTGTATAAGGTTTAACGCCCCTTGCAGCGCTGTAAGGTGATTTATAAGGCGGAATCTCCGAATTTAACGGCTATCTCCGTTAAGACCAAGCTAGATGGGAACATTGGTGTAAAGTGCCTTTCCCCTTTCCCAAAGACACTACGTCGGAAAGAGCTGAGCCTCGAACCCGGGACCCCGCAATCTCACAATTACGGTAGCCTAACCACTGGTTTTAGTTTTAGTAAGTGTTTTGTTTGTTTTAGTAAGTGTTTTGCGGCACTTACAACACAATAAGGTCATGTAAGTGCCGAAGATTAGAGGTATTACAAGAGAGTAAAAAACACAAAAAAGAAAG